GAGAGAGAGAGGAGAGAGAAAGAGAATTTTTAATATTTATTTTTAAGTTCTCGGCGGACACAACATCTTTGTTGGTATGTGGTGCTGAGGATTGAACCCGGGCCGCACGCATGCCAGGCGAGCGCGCTACCGCTTGAGCCACATCCCCAGCCCCCAGAATTCTTAATTGTAATTCAAGTGCATAGGAGTCAAAGAGCAGCTACTTTTTTGCTAATTACTTGTTGATTGATTGATTGATTGTTTAATTTTGAAGTACTGAGGATTAAACCCAGGGGCATTCTACCACTAAGCTACATCCCTAGCCCTTTTTATTTATTTTTTATTTGTAAGATAGGGTCTCACTAAATTGCCCAGGTCAGCCTTGAACTTTCAATCCTCCTGCCTCAGCCTCCCAAGTAGCTGGGATTACAGGCATGTGCTATCACACCTGGCTTTTTCTCTTACTTATAAAGTTCTAGGGGCTGGGGTTATGGCTCAGGGGTAGAGCGCTTGCCTAGCATGCATGAGGCACTGGGTTCGATCCTTAGCACCACATAAATATAAAATAAAGATTTTTTTGTTTTGTTTGTTTCTTTTTAGCTGTAGATGGACACAATACCTTTTTATTTTATTTATAACTAAAAAGTAAATATTTTTTTAAAAAAGTTCTAGTGTGACTTTTAAAATGTTAGTAAAAGTTTTATGTATTACTCTTTTTAATTAAAAATGCAGAATATACCAGATGCAGAAGAGAAATAGAAGTTACCTATAATCCCACCAAATTATAACATTTTGATATTTGTTCCACCTTTTCTTATACATGTATTTTTATATACTTATTTTTTATTTTTTTGTAGTTGGACAAAATGCCTTATATTTTATTTGTATGTGGTACTAAGGATTGAATCCAGTGCTTCACACATTCCAGGCAAGCTCTCTGCCGCTGAGCTATAACCCCAGCCCTATACATATATTTTTAAAGTAGTAGTCAACTTATTTCTCCTTTCCTATACTCTTTTTTTTTTTTTTTTGGTACCAGGGATTGAATTTGGGTGCTCAAACACTGAGCCACATCTCTAGACCTATTTTGTATTTTAGAGACAGGGTTTCACTGAGTTATTTAGTGCCTGGCTATTGCTGAGACTGACTTTGAACTTGAGATCCTCCTGTCTTAGCCTCCAGAGTTGCTGGGATTACAGGTGTGTGCCACTGCTCCCAGCCCTCTTTTCTATACTCTTAAACTGAATGATTGATTGATTGGTACTGGGGATTGAACCCAGGGCTCCTTACCACTGAGCCACAACCCATTTCTTTTTATTTTTGTTTTGAGACAGAGTCTCACTAAGATTGCTTAGGGCCTTGCTAAGTTGTAGAGGCTGGCTTTGAATTTGTGATCCTATCGCCCCAGGCTCCCAAGTTGCTCTGATTACATTTGTGTGCCACTGTGCTCAGCTTTTCCTCCATTCTTCCTGACAAAGTTTAGTTCAGATACCATTAGGTGGGGTCAGGGATGATAGACATCCCCAGCAGAGGGCCAGGTGCATGCCAGGGCTAAGGCAGGGTGGTAAGTGTCTGCACAGGTGGACAGCCACCTCTGGCTCTTAGGTCTGCACAGGATGGGTGGCGGGGCTGTAGGGAGGGCCATGAGAAGACAGCCCTAGAGGGATGTGGGAGTCTTTTGTAAGGTGACAAGGCTGTCCATAATGGGGGTGAAGAACAGTCCAAGGACACCTATACCCCCAAAACAAAGAGTGCACCTACACCCAGATCTTAGATTATAAATACCATTCTCTCCTGAAAGGGTTCCAGCTCTGTTTTGTTTTGTTTTGTTTGTTTCCTTTTAGCTGTAGATGGACACAATACCTTTTTATTTTATTTATTTGTTTTTATGTGGTGCTGAGGATCAGACCCAGTGCCTCACACATGCCGGATGTGTGTGCTGTCCCTGAGCCCCAGCCCCAGCCCCGCTCCAGCTCCAGCTCTTTAAACACATGGCTGCTTCTAGAGTGCGGGCACACAACATGCGAGGAGAGCGGACCCTCCGAGAAACGCTCGCCGATGGGTGGGATGTGTCAGAAGAACCTCAAGGACATCTCGACATTCAAGGCATCCTCAGGAGTCACATAAGGGACAGATAAATAATGGTGGAAATATACTCTAACCTTCAAATAAAATAGGAATCTATGGCTCTATAATGATATGAATAAATACAAAAATAAAAAGAAAATTTGTTTTATAGCAAGACACACGTAGTACTTCCCCACAGAATCCGAGCTGCCTTGGGAGAAACCTAAGGTGAAGTCTAGTAGATCCCACCTAAGCAATCAAAGTCAACGTCATCATCAATGGGACAAATCAAAGCCCTGTGCCACCCGCTGGATGCATTGACAAGAACTCTGTTGCCTGTGTGTTCTTTCTGCCGCAAATGCATCTCCAAGATTAGTCGTGAGACATTAAGCAAACCCTAATGAGGGAGAGTCTGCAAAATACCTATCTTCAGCTCTTCAAAAGCATCAAGGTTATAAAAGTCATAAAAGGCTGAGGAAATGTTCCACTGTGAGGACAAAATGTGTCCCATGATTCTGGACAAGATCCTTTTGCTAGTGAGGATGTAAGTGGGGAAGCTCAGATAGGGTCCATAGAATGGATGACTAAGGGACCATGGTTCTGATTGTTGTGGTTCTATAGAGTAGTCATATCTGTAGAAATGTGTAGGAATTTCTGGGATTATGAGGTATCGAGTTGAAAAATGTCAAATACTGCAGGAAAAAAAAATACTGTTCTGTAAATCCGAGAATAAATATGTCCCAATGCCAGACAAAAAAGTAGAAATCATACACTCCAAATGTACCTAATGGTGGAGAGAAGGGCAAGGTATCTCAGAGAGAGCTATGATTCATGTGGCTCAGCAAGGAAAAACAAGAGCTAAAAATCACTAACCTGAACATTTGCATTTTTTAATATGAAGGTTATTTTAAAATAAATTTTATGTATAAAAGTTAGTATTGAGTTCATAAAAAATAATTGTAAGTATTTTGAATCATTCTAGAACTTTGATTTGTATGAATAAGTTAAGACCTCATGTTATTGTGTAAAACAATTAGGAGTTAAATGTATTTTTCAACACTTTTATTGAGCATCTACTTTATGCCAAGCCTTGGTCTGGCACTGAGAATAAAAATGGGAAGCAGGATAGACATGGCTCTGCCCTCATGAATTTTTTTTTTTAAAAAAGAGAGAGATAATTTTTTAATATTTATTTTTTTAGTTCTCGGTGGACACAACATCTTTGTATGTGGTGCTGAGGATCGAACCCGGGCCGCACACATGCCAGGCGAGCGCGCTACTGCTTGAGCCACATCCCCACCCCAATATGGCCATTTTGATAATATCTATTCTGCCTATCCAGAAGCATGGGAGATCTTTCCATCTTCTGTGGTTTTTCTTCAGTTTCTTTCTTAGCTCTGTAGTTCTCATTGTAGAGGTCTTTCACCTCTTTTGTTAGATTAATTCCCAGGTTGGTTGGTTTGTTTTTGAGGCTATTGTGAATGGAGTACTTTTCATAATTTCTCTTTCAGTGGATTCATCGCTGATGTATAGGAATGTGTTTGATTTATTGGTTTTTGATTTTATATCCTTATACTTTGCTGAATTCATTTATTAGTTCTAGAATTTTTCTGGTGGAATTTTTTGGATCTTCTAGATACAGAATCATGTCATCAGTAATTAGTCGTAGCTTAAGTTCTTCTTTATCTATTTGTATCCCTTTAATTTCTTTCTTTTGTCTAATTGCTCTGGCTAGAGTTTCAAGGATGATATATGTCTAATATTTTGTAACTTCAACTTGATATATTGTGAACTTAAACCCACGACATTTAAATTTTTCCAAAGATTGAATTTAGAGTGATACTTTATAAAACAGTAAAAGACTTTTTATGTTAGAATATGTATCAGGGATTGAAGAAAAGGAGATTCTACCACCTGAATCTCTTTGATAATGGCATCAAAGCAAAAAGTTACTATTTTATTTGAACTACAATTATGCTCCAAACATTGGGCACTAATACAAAACTATTACAAAAAAATTATTCCAAATTACATTTTAAGTAAATTTTGGATTGATAAGGGCCCATTTCCTTTCTACCACTGCCACACACAGTTCACTGTTGAGTGTGCCTGATGTATACAAATGAAACCAGGAGAACTCTGCTGAATATTCTTTTACCTATTCTAATCTTAGCAAAAAATTTTGAGAATCTCGTACTCAGAATCACTTGAAGATCAGAATCCAGGTTTCTGGGCTCCCAGCCTGAAGGTCCTGCTTTAGTAGGTTGGGGTGAAGTCAGAGAATTTTCAAGCAAGTTGACAGGTAGTGCTGACCCTGCCTTCTGGGGCCACAGCCACAGCTTTGGCAGGTGGCTGGCTGAGATGACTCAAGTAAAGTCACATGAACGTGTTACCCAGGACTCATGAGGCCTGACATCGAATTTGGGAGACTTTAGCTTATTTTATCTAATAATTTGACAACAAAGGCAGTTTCCTCTCAGGGTCTGAGGTCCTGACTTCTTGGTTTTATTTATTCACACAGGATTAATGCAGTATCGAATGGACAAGTCCGCGGTGATAGCTACAGTGAAGGTTGTCTTGGTCAAACAGGTAAATAAGTGCAACCAGCGTTTTACTATCTACGTTTTCATCCTCAAAATGAGAACTGCATTAAAGGGCAGAGGGAGGATGGTATATAGAGCAGAAAGTTGAAGTCACCTTTGGTCAGAGTTGGCCGACAGTACAGAACACTTCCCAGGTTAAGTGCATGGCCCTCAGCAGTAGCAGGTAGCCATTGGTGACCGCTGGATCCGGTAGGGAACAGTTCATGGGAACACATGCAAAATAGAATATATGGTATTTTAAACTATACCATATAGGGCTGGTGTTGTAGTTCAGTGGTGGAGCGCTTGCCTGGCATGTGTAAGGCCCTGGGTTCGATCCTCAGCACTATATATAAATGAATAAATAGATAGATGATCCATTGACAACTAAAAAAATTAAAAATAAATAAATAAATAAACTATACCATATATATTCTTTTTTCCTCTTTTTTTGCCTACCATATTTGGTTGAATTAGCATTTTGAAATAGAATCATAGAAATATTTTTTAAATTGTGGTAAAATCCTACAAAATTCACCATCTTAACCACTCACACATGTACAATCCTGTATTATTAAGAATGTGTCAGGGCTGGGAATGTGGCTCAAGCGTTGGTGCGCTCGCCTGGCCCAGGTTCGATCCTCAGCACCACATATAAACAAGGATGTTGTGTCCGCCGAGAACTAAAAAATAAATATTAAAAATTCTCTCTCTCTCTCTCTCTCTCTCTCTCTCTCTCTTTAAAAAAAATCAAGGCTTTTTAAAAAAAAGAATGTGTCAGGCTGGGCGCAGTGGCACAGGTAGTCATTGCCGCGGCTTGGGAGGCAGAGATGGGAGAATCACAAGTTCAAAGCCAGCCTCAGCAACTGCGAGGCGCTAAGCAGCTTCAGTGAGACCCTGTCTCTAAATAAAATACAGAGAAGGGCCAGGGATGTGGCTCAGTGGTTGAGTGCCCCCGAGTTCAATCCTCAGAACCTAAAATAAAATAAAATAAAAGTACATTTGTGTTATCATTTGAAAGTGCTCTTGGAGAACTTCAAACTTTGGAGCACAGTTTCTAGAAATATATAAGAGAATGAGCCTCTGAATATAGTGAGAAATGTGAAATATTTTGTAGGAAGATTAAGTAAAATGTTTTTTAGCAAAGGAAATTGGGAAAAGTAAATACAGAATATACCCACTTGGAATACACAGACCAGTAGATTTTTAGAGACACACATTCTGTAACCAAGAAAGAAAAAGGCCGACATCTCCACCAGTGAGGTTCCTAACACGCCTTCTCCCACTGTTCCTGTTGTAGACATTAATGCACTTCCTGTTTGTTTTTGTTTTCTTTTTGGAAGTTAACTGAGCCGGCTGTGCCCTGTGCCAGGCAGCTCTGGTAACAGTCCCTCTTTGCAGGTGCTCGCATCTGGCTGTTCCTGGGTTTCATGCTGGCCTTCGGCTCTCTGATCACATCAATGTGGATTCTCTTTGGAGGTTATGTTGCTAAAGGTAAGAGAGATGCCGGCTGCATTTTACTTCAAGGAACACTGAAATTTTGCATTGAAGTTGGTTATTTTAGAATGAAGCTTTTTTCATGTAGATGGGCCAGCTCCTAGCAACGCATTTATACCTGAGCACACCCCTCCTTCCTGTTAGTGTGTGGTTCTGTTTGTTTTATATGTTTGTAGCCTTCCTTTCTTCTGTACCTTTTCTTCCAGTCCAGAGTCTGGTAGGAATGGCAAATAGCTCAGAACTTTTCTGGCCTCCCAAAGTCTCAGAAGCAGAATGTGTATGTTCTCTAGCTATTAAGCAAGTTTTGACTTTTAGACAGTGTCTGTACAAACTCTAACACCCGAGACTTGAGATGTATTCAGTTACGTCTCCCTGGTAATGTGATGATGTCTTTTCCTCTTACATGGGAAAATTAACTAACATTTCATCCATGTCTGCCATAGAAGCCAGGGTAAGGAAAGCTCAGGAGAAGGCGTGCGTTAGATCCCTGGTTGAAGTTCACCTTGAGGGACCCAAGAAAAATATGAAACCCATTCAATGTTACAGATGAAATCACCTGTACTTCTCAGAGTAAAAGCATAACAAGAGTGATATGCAAGAAGTGGACTAACCTAGATCTAATTTAGTTCTTTTTAAAAAATAACAATGTACTTTTTTTTATTTCTCCTTTTGGAGAATAGTTAAGATGTGTGGTAAGTGTGGTGGTGCACACCTGTAATCCCAGCAGTTGGGAGGCTGAGGCAGGAGGATCACAAGTTCAAAGCCAGCCTTAGCAACTTAGTGAGGTCCTAAGCAACTCAGCAATAACTTGTCTCAAAATAAAAACAAGGGGGGGGGGCTGGGGATGTGGCTCAGTGATAAAACACTCGCCTGGCATGTGAAAGGCACTGGGTTCAATCCTCAGCACCACATAAAAGTAAATAAATAAAATAAAGGTATTGTGCCATCTATAACTAAAAAAAAAATTATAAAAATAAAAAAATATCTTGGGATATAGCTCAAAGTTAGAGCGCCCACGTTAAATCCCTAGCAAGAAAACACGTGTTAAATCCTTAGGTAAGAAAACCCCCATGCCTCAAAAATGTGCTGGCTCTTAGAGAATCACCAGTTCACGGTCCAGAGGTCACATGGAAGCAGAACTTGGAAGGAAGCCCTGGACGCACCCCTCAGCACCAGGCCAACTCCCCTGCACACTCCTCCTCCCTCTGGTGCTGTTGGTCCTGGCCAGGCTGTCGCATGCCACTGTCAACTCTCTGAATTGAGATAATTTAGCTCCTATTTTAACACCTTACTTCTAAGAATAAAACGAAACTTTTATATTAAAATCATGGGTTTCATAAATTTTTATTAAAATTATTTAAATCTTATAGACAGGAATGATAGGCATTTGTAAGATGTATGTATTTTTTCTTTTGTTTACCCGATTTATTATCAAAACTGTTACCAAAAATGTAGAAATGAAAAAAAGCAAAAGAAGCTGTAATAACCTTACCACTCTTAAATATTTGGGAATGTTTCCCTTCCATCCCTTTTGTTTGTTTGCCTGGTTTCCCGAGAGTGGCTCCACGTTGGGTCCCGTCTCTCCCCTGCCCCCTTCATAGTCTCGTTCAGCACAGCAGCCAGAGGAATCCTGTTAAAATGTGTCACCTCGTGCCACATTTTGTCTCAACCCTCCAGTGGCTTCTCATCTCAAAATTAAAGTCAGGGTCCTTATGAGGCTGCAGGGCTCTGCAGGACGCTCGCCACCTGCCTGCCCCTTGCCTCTTTGATCTGTCCCATTTTCCCTGCTCTTCAAGGAGTCGTCCCTCTATGTCCCTCTATGAGGCCAGCATGTCCCCCCTCAGGGCCTTTGCCCTTGCTCCCCCGCTACAGGGTCCCTGCCCTCTCTTCCTCATGTCCTCACTCCTGTGTCAGCTTCTCAAGAGGTCTTCCTGGCCACCTGTGTCACATGTCATCATTTGCCGTATTTCCTATACCAGTCCACTTTTTTTTCTTTCTAGTTTATTCTGCTCCGTGAGGGCAAAAAAAAAAATTGTGAAGGGAAGGAAGGGAGCTGCTGTTTACATTACTTAATGCATCGACCATAGTAACCAGAAAGATCAATTATCTTAGGCAAGAAAACTGACATTTGCTGGTACATCCAAAAATAAATGTTTTGAGGTCATAACCTTCTAAATATTTCATTTGTTTTTTACAGAAAAACCCATAGTGTATCCTGGAATCGCTGTGTTTTTCCAGAATGCCTTCATCTTTTTTGGGTAGGTTGGTTTTGCGCTTTTCACCTCTTCAGCTTTTAATCCACTTTTTTTATGTTCTATGTTGTGTTTGCTTGTCCTGCCCTGCCAGCCCCGCCACCCAGCCACTCCAGGCTGTGTCTCAGGAGTTCCCGCAGCAGGGCCACGGGGGCTCTGACAGCGGGAGCCACCAGGCCTTGCCAGGTACAGGCAGGGGGGGTTCTGCTTGTTCCGGGCAGAGTCTGTGGCTTTCTTCAAGTTTTTAAAGAAGGTCCTAATCCAGAAACAGTTGGGAAACTATAGAACTTTTTCTTCCCCATCCCTTCCCACCTCCCACTTGAACCATTAGGTACTACTGGTTGCCCTTAGTAAGAGCCAGCAGTTGGTATTCACAGTTAGTCTTTTCCACCACCAGGCATTTTTGCCATTTTATAAAGTCAGTTTGAAAATAAATATAAATTTAGATGTGGCAAGATACATGTCCTTGGGCTGGGGATGTGGCTCAAGCAGTAGCGCTCACCTGGCATGCGTGTGGCCCGGGTTCGATCCTCAGCACCACATACAAAGATGTTGTGTCCACCAAAATAAATAAATAAATACTAAAATTCTCTCTCTTTAAAAAAAAAAGATACATGTCCTCTTCAGTTAAACCTTGTGTCCTGAAACTGATGGAGAAACCTCAGAGGGTTTTGTTTTTAAGTAAAGCTATTGACTTTTTTTGCAGAAAATAATAACTGAAGCTTGTTGAACAATTACTGTGTGCTAGGCACCATTCTTAGTGCTTCATTTACATGTACACTTTGTTAATCTCCATAGCCACTCTTAAGGTGTCACACCATTTTATGTGAGCAAACAGGCACAGAAAACACAGATAACCTGAGACCAGGTGACTGAAATTCAGATTGAGGTTGTCTAGCTGCACAGCCTGGTGTGGTGAGATCTGAGGTGAATTCAGCTGGCACTTTCTCTTTTGCTAAGTCTTCAACCAGTTGCTTAATTAGTTGTTTCCTTTCTCCCTTTAAGATTATAACACTTGGGGGCTGGGGATGTGGCTCAAGCGGTAGTGCGCTCGCCTGGCATGCATACGGCCTGGGTTCGATCCTCAGCACCACATACCAACAAAGATGTTGTGTCCGCCGAGAACTAAAAAATAAATATTATTTATTTTTAATTAATTTATTAATTTATTTTTATTTTTAATATTATTTATTTTTAATTCTCTCTCTCTATCTCTATCTCTCTCTCCTCTCTCACTCTCTCTTAAAAAAAAATTTAAAAAAAAATTATAACACTTGGGCTGGGGATGTGGCTCAAGCGGTAGCGCGCTCGCCTGGCATGCATGCGGCCTGGGTTCAATCCTCAGTACCACATACAAACAAAGATGTTGTGTCCACCGAAAACTAAAAAATAAATATTAAAATTTCTCTCTCTCACTCTCAAAAAAAAAAAGATTATAACACTAAAAAAATATAAAATGAGTAAATCTCTCCTCCCCCTTATGAAATAAAATCTGAGTGAATCTGTTAGTCTGCAGGGAGGTGTGGCTGTGTGTAGGAGAGGGAATGCGGCCATGTTCAGAGTTCTCCTTCAAGTCACATGCTGAGGTTCGAACTTAAAGAAGAACCGTTATTCAGTTAAAAACAGATTAGGTTCCGTGGCAGTACTAAAAGCAAATTGAAACTGAGTTCAGCTGGTGGACACTGCTGTGGGGACAGTTGTAGAGATTGCCTGCAGTTCTGACGTGCAGCACAGCAGTGCCTAGCGAAGGTATGAATTACCATTCCAGCAGTCAGAGGCGGATGTCCGAACCAGAGGTGACCAGTCTCCTTCTAAAACAAAACCCAGCTCTGAGGGGTCTAAGAGATCAACTGGCCATCCAGCCCAACCTGCCACAGCTGTTTTATTTGGCCAGTATAGAATTATTTTTGTTATTGAGCCAACATTTAAAAATCAAGAGAGTTGACATAAAAATCTGAATTTTGACTTTTTCATTAACAACCAATTGGAGCTACCTGGGTGTCCCTTTTCAATAGGAGCCGTTCTTCCAAGCAGTCCCACTGCCTGGCACTGAGGACCAGCTGCCCCTCAGCCTGCAGGCTGGCCTCTGCCCTCTCCACTCCACATGGCATCATGGGAGCTGGCCGCCTTGTGGTTGGCTCCCTGAAGCCTGGCGGCCTCTGTGCCCTGTCCTCCTCCTCGTCTCTTCAACAGTCACCTGGCCCCGATGGACTCTTACCTGTCCTCTACACTCCAGACAGCTTTTTATAAACATGGTTGCACTCTGGGCTTCTCCAGTGGGAGCCTGGAGGACAGCGTGGACACACGTCGCCTGAGCCCAAGGCCAGAGCGCTGGGAGGGCATCTTCCTGACACACCCGTCACTTGGGCTTTTCGTGGGTTTTTTTGCTGTTTCTGGCTCTGCCATGCCCGCTGAGATTTGGAGGGTGGGGCAGTGCTGGGCGGAACCCAGGGCTCTCATGTGCTGGGCAAGCGCTGGACTCCTCCCCGGCCGCTGGTTCTCTGAGGCCTCTTGCCTTTTGAGGTGCTGCTTGCTCTCCCTGAAGCATCTAGTCCATCCCTTGCAGGCTCTTGTTCCCACCAGACTCCAACTGAACTCCTGTTTGTCCCCAGAGCCACCCATACATTGTCACCTACCAGCCTTCCCTGCCTTGCGGGTGGGCTGAGCCCTGCATCTCTCTGCCC